GGTCTTTAACGATGCAAAAAAAAAAAAAAGAGTTAAAAATTTCACTTTAACTTTTTATCTACTCTGTAAGACATTGTTTTTCTATCCAGGTAGGCAGGCCCTTCTTACTAGCAACCACATTTACAAAGACAGTAAATCTGAGATTCTTTGAAGTGAAAGCCCAGATGAAAGGAGAGGACTGAGCTATAAAGACCTAACTCTTCAAGTTTCTGCTTCAACATAGTCTTGAGGAATTAGCTCTGAATTTAAACAAAGAAAGCATCCACAGTTGATTTTGTGGGCTGCATCAGAAAAATAAATGTACAAAGCATCATACATATTTTCTTTTTAGTAAACCCCAGAGCCAGGCTGAAGGCGTAACTATTGAATTAAAACATCCCTTGAGCGGGAGGAAATATATTATTTTATTTCACTGAAGTTAGTTTTGTACTTAAAACAGTCAGGTAAGTACAAGAGGAAAATATATGTAAAGTATGTATCTGGCCCCAAAGGAAATATTGAATAAATAAAAGTTTTGTTGTTGAGAATTCTGTAAAACAGGCCTTATGTAAAGTGTGAAATAAAAAATTGGTTCATTTTGCTAATTCAAAAAATTGAAACACAATTTAATAAGACAAATTAAACCATTAAAATGCACAATGAATAGCAGTTACAATACTTCATTTCAGAAAAGTATGCATTGAAAACTTTAGAAGTGACTAAAGTTTTTAAAATACTTATTATTTTTATTTTATTGATTTAGTGGGATCTTGTAGTGAAAATTAAAATATGATAGGAGAAAGATAAATATTAAGATAAAGACAGCCAATGCAGTGTCTACAATCTGCAAACAAATATAGTAAAACAGTGAGAAGCATTAGCACAAGTTTTCTACAAACAGGATGTGTATATAAAAGCTGTCATGAACATGTGTGCTATAGCATCAAACCCAAACCAACTCATTGTCATCAAGTCAATTCTGACTCATAGTGACCCTACACGACAGAGCAGAACTTCCTCATAAGGTTTCCAAGGCAGTAATCTTTATGGAAGCAGAATGCCACATCTTTCTCTGGTGGAGTAGCTTGTGAGTTCAATGTACCAACCTTTTGGTTAGCAGCTGAACACTTAACCATCACACCACCAGGGCTCCTTGTCAATAGCATAGCTATTTATTACCTTTCACCTATAGGTTGTCTCAAAATTAATGTGCCTCCCTTGGGGCATAGCTTGAGGATGCAGAAGCCAGTTATTCTTTCAATAAACTTGTAGTGAATTTCAATAAAGTATGGAACAGGCTCTGTGATAGATAACAAGGATACAGAGAAAAATAAAGTGAGGATCAGCAAGGAGTACATCATCTCTTGGGGGAAATACATAAGTAAATGCTGTTCTAGAATGGTATATAGGTATAACTCTCTAGGACTAAGTAAGAAAGGAGTCCCTAGGTGGTGCAAATGGTTAACATGCTTGGCTACTACCTGAAAGTTGGAGGCTCAAGTCCACCCAGAGGTGCCTCAGAAGAAAGGCCTGGTGAACTATTTTAAAAAAACAGCCATTGAAAAACCCTATGGAGCACTGTTCTACTTTGACATATTGCATCTCCACAAGTCAAAGTTGACTCAACTGGTACTTTGAAGTGAGAAAAATTCTGGGAAGATTTTACAGAAATGATGGCACCTGAGACAAATCTTCAATGACCAGGAATAAGGAAAGCAACTGTGTGCTCAAAGGACAGAGGCGGATATACCCTGGCACATTCCCTGTACTACAAGTAATGTCTAAAACCCAAATTTGTATGAAGATTGCAAGGGATGACATTGATCCTGAGGCACATTATACAGCATGCTAAGAAATTAGCTCTGTCCTAATGAGGATCTTCTGAAGGATTTTAAGTAGAGGAAAGAGGTGGCCAGGTATGCATTTTTGAAAGAACATCCTGACAGTAATAGACAAGGGTGGGTTGTTGGAGGAGAGCTAGAATTAGAAGTACAGTTTAGATATTGTTACCATGCTCCAGGCAAGGAAAATGGAGGCTAGGAACTCGTTGTCGTCGTCGTTATGTGCCGTCGGCTAGGAACTAGGGGGAAAAAAAAAAAAAAAACTGACTGCCGTCGAGTCAGATCCCACTCATAGTGACCCCTCCCTTGGGTTTCCGAGGTGGTATCACTACAGAAGTAGATTGCCTAGTCTTCCTTCTGAGGAAGGTTTGAACCACCAGCCTTCTGGTTAGCATCAAATGCCTCAGGCACTATGCCACCAGAGCTCCCAGGAACTAGAATAGTGGCAGAGAAAATAGGAAGAGATGAATACAAAGTGGTTTCAAAGGTAAAATGAAAATGATGTGGTAATTAGTTAGCTAGGGGTTTGAAAAGGAGTCTCGGAACCCTTACAGGGTTCTGGGTAGATGGTGGTAACCTTAACTGAGATAGGAAATCCAAGAGGAACAGTTGTTTGGTGGTATGATGAGTTTGAGGTTGCTATGAGACAACTGTGTAGAGATGGTTAATAAGCAGTAAGAGATATGCTGAGGAAAAGGGTTTAGTGGTAAGGAAGAGGACTGAAGATAAAGAAGAGAGCATAGAGAATTGATGAAACAAGATCTCAGAGGAGGAAAGAAGGAGTAGTAGTGTTCTACGGCACAGCACAGTAATAGGGTGTTATGGATTGAATTGTATCCCCAAAAAATATGTTGAAGTTCTAACCTGTGTACCTATGAAAGTGACCTTGTATGAAAATATGGTTTATGAAGATATTATCAGTTAACATGAATGTGGTAGTTAAGGTTGTGTGTCAATTTGCCTGGGCCATGATTTTGAGTGGTTTGTAGATGCATGTCATTATTCCCCATGATGAGATTGTAAACACCTCCATGGTGGAATCTGCTGTGAGCAGTTAAATAGTTGGGGGAGTTACCTTTGGGGTATGACCTGCTTCCAGTACATATAGAGAAGCTTTGGGAAAGGTCTATAGCTTTTTGGCACATTTTGGGCCATGTTGCCTGCTGATCATGGGATTGTGCCATTTTACATGCTAATCTTGGATTCATCAACCTCAGTAGGCAACACCTGCAATGAGTTCGAAGAAGCCACTAGCTCCAGTGGGCCTGGAAAAAGAAGCAGAGCTGAAGGCCAAGATCGAGGGGCCTTCACCCAGCTACTAGAGCTGTTACTCTGAACTTAGACTTCTAGCCTACTAAACAGTAAAGGAATAAATTCCTGCTTGGTAAAGTCATCCACTTGTGGTACTTCTGTTACAGCAGCAGTAGAGGACCAAGACAATGAGGTCCAATAGGAGTAGGGTAGGTCCTAATCTCATCTAAGGAGCCTCTTTACAAAAAAAAAAAAAAAAAGAAGATACAGAAGATGGCTATGTGAAGATACATCTATCTACAAGCCAAGAAACACTGGGGCTACCAGAAGCTGGGAGAGATAAGAAGGGATCTTCCCCTAGAGCCTTGAAGAGAACATGTTTGTGCTGCCATCTAGAATTTGAACTTCCAGCCTCCAGAACTGTGAGAGATTAAATTTCTGTTCTTTAAGCTACCCATTTTGTAGTATTTTGTTATGGTAGCCTATTGTCATTTGTTTTGGTTCTCTAGAGTTGCTCTAACAGAAAATACCAGAAATGTATGGTTTTAACAAACAGGGATTTATTCTCTCACAGTTTTGGAGGCTACAAGTCCAAATTGAAAATGCCATCTCTAGAGGCTGGGTGAAGGCCCCTCGACCTTCAGCTTCAGCTCTGCCTCTTGCTCCTAACTCACTGGAGCTAGAGGCATCTCTTAACTCAGGGAGCTTCTGGCTGCTAAGGCTGACAAACCCAAGGTCAACAAGTAAAATGATACAGTCCAAAGATTATCAAGCAACATGGTAGGCCACTAATTCAAGTCCAGAAACAGTCCCAAGATTGGCAGACAACATGGCAGGCCACTCACTGATGACTTGGCCAAATGCAGGATCCATTCACTCACTCATTCACTCACTTACTGCTGTCGAGTTGAATCTGACTCATAGCAACTCCTCCTTGGGTTTCTGAGGTGATATCACTACGGAAGTAGATTACCCAACTTTCCTTCTGAGGAGTGGCTGCTGGGTTTGAACCACCATCCTTCTGGTTAGCAGTTAAATGTCTTAGGCAGTACACACCACCAGAGCTCCCAATGCAGGATCCAGATGTGCCAAAAAGTTCAGAGACTTCTCTCAAAGTTGTCTTCCTATATACTGGAAGCATCCCCAGGGCAGCTACTCAGCTGCTCACAGTCGAATCCACCACTGAGTTGATTACCAGTCTTATCATCAGCAGTAAATACATCTAGTTGCCCAGCCACTCAAAACCAGGCCCAGCCAAGTTGACACACAACCTTAACTACCACATCATCAAAACGTGCCTATACTTACTTCCTTTTGTCCAGTCTCAGAGGAAGCTGTGTCCCTATGTATTAGTCTCCTATGGCTGCCTTTATTGAATTCTTAACTTCACCTAAAAAAAAAAATCCTTTCTTCAACCCTCTTATGCCTTAAAGCTATCATATTTCCTCTTTTTCCCCTCCTCATTATACCTTCTGAAAGGTGGCTATTCACAGTTTATAGAGCATCTTCACATATTATCTTAATTATGTAGATCATCTAAACTCATAGTGTTTATATTTTCCATATTGCCAGTTTTCATAACTCTCCTTTTTAAAAAGGCTGTGTAACATCAATGAGTTTTGAAGGTTCAAAACCAGTTTGAACTGGAGACATGTATGATCTCACAAAAGAAATCAAATGCTGCAAAATGGTGGAGTAACAGAGGCAAATTTATAAAGTAAAATCAAGAAATAAAAGTACAACATTCTGACTGGAAGTTGAAATATTAGGGAAGCCAGAGGTGAGACAACTTGAAGTGAAGATTTTACAGTAAACACAAATTTATGGGCTGTTTGGATTGGTTAGCTTAAATACATGACTAGGGGGAATTTGACAAGGTAGTCATAAGGTAATTATCTTAAAACATTGCCTGAAGCCTTCCCCTTCCAGATTCTCAAACAGCAGACCATTCATCAAGGATTTTGTATCCAAGCCCAAAAGTTTGTTACCCAAGATGATGAAGACTGACATGGATGCAGCTGATGCTGCAAATCAGGGGGAACTGGAGGAAAACACACGACTTATTAATCAAGTGTTAGAACTCCTACACACACTTGAAGATCTCTCTGCAAGAGTAGATGCAGTTAAGGAAGAAAATCTAAAGCTAAAATCAGAAAACCAAGTTCTTGGACACTATATAGTCAGCATCTAACGTTTTTCAAACAACTGACACAAAAAGCAAATGAAAGTAAGAGGTTGATGTCCTCTGTGTTTTATGGAATTGCTGCTGCAATTTTTTCTTTGAAATTTGGATAGATTTCAAAATATACAGTACCTTTGTTTGTGGGCTTCATTGAATATTTATGAAGATAATGGCAGATCTAGGCAAAATTAAGAGCATAACAGGAGATGTCTATGAGTTTGTGTATTATGTTAGTCTATGAAAATGTGCAAATGTATTGTAGAGACTTTAGAATTGCATGTATCTATGAAACCTTGAAGATGAATGTTTTCTTCAATTTGCTTTTTTAGGTTTAGAACTGTCTTTTATTATAGGAATAGTAAAAGATGATACAAGAAACTAACTACCATGTTGTGAAAAAGTGACCAAAATCATGTACTAATGCACAGCTTTATATGTACCCAGTCCACCATCTTGTGCCTCTTTTCCATTTGCCTCTTCCTTCCCATTTCCCTTTCCCTTAGGAAAAAGGATAGTTCCACATTTGTAAAAGTAATTTTAATAACAGTTAATATTTTATGAGAGTAACGTGAACTCATTATTGAAACTTAATCAAAACAACTTTCTCAGCTAGGGCCTGTCATTTGTTATATTTAGTAATAAGATAAGAGCTGTTGGTTTTTCTCTTAATAAATTGAAAATGGACTATAAAAATGAAAATTATTCCTTGAAACTATGAATTTTAAAGTTGGGAAGGTTTGCTGTTCAGTACTTCCTTCTGCACAAAATGACTGACTGGTATCTGAAAAAAAAAAAAGACCTCTAGTTGTATGTTCAAAAAATCTTGGGGAACATAGGAATAGGGTGGGAAAAATAGTTGGTAAGCAGTAGTAACCAACTCTCTGTTTTCATTCCAAATTTCTGTTGTCATTTCCACAGATTAGGTCTTTTGGGTTACAACATATATGAATGTGGATTAAGTCTGACTAACATAATGTAAACCACATCTGGAAGAGAACAGTTACAAATAGTTCAGTCTCTTAAAGTTTATTTATAGCATCTAGAAGATCATCTTTTGCAAAAACTCTTAAGTGTGTATTAGCATCAGAATCATGAACATAATGGGAGAATTTTTCATGTGTGTTAAAATAATCTCTGTATTTTATCACATCACTTCTCCCCTGAATTTTCTGTTAAGTCCAGCTGTTTGGTTTGTAGAGTTTTAGGCATCTTTTTATTAAGCAGTTTTTAAAAATTCAGTTGTAGATTCCATTTAAAAAGGGACTCTATCAGAGGTAATGTTAAAATGTTAATTATAATAGTGTGGTGCTTATGTTTGTGTGTCAACTTGGCTGGGCCTGGTTGAGTGGCTGGGCAGCTAGTGGTAGTTATTCCCCATGACGAGACTGGCAATCAGCTCCATGGTGGGATCTACCACAAGCAGCTGAGTAGCTGCTTTGAGTATGTGGTCTGCTTCCCATATATAAGAAGCAGCTTTGGGAATGGTCTCTAGCTTGTGGCACGCTTGAACCCTGCATGTAGCCATGTCGTTCAGCAGCCTGCGATGCTCCACCGATCTGGGGACTTACGACAGACTAGAATTAATAGCCTGCCATGTGGTTTGGTAACATCAGGACTGTGTCTTTTTATTTGTCAACCTTGAGCTTGGCAGCTCAGCAGTCAACAGCTATCTCAGTGAAGAAAAGCCTCTAGCTTCATTGGTCCGGGAGCTGGAGGCAGAGCTGAAGCCCAAGTCTGAGGATCCAGCCCCTAGAGCTTGGCACTTTGAACTTGGACTTAAATCCAAACTATGAGAGAATAAACTCATCTTTGTTAGCCATCCCATTTGTGGTATATTCTTGTCAGAGTGGCACTAGGTAACCAGAACAAATAGGAAGAGAGATCTAATACACTTTATGGTTGTTATATTTGAGCTACTTTTAATCATGGAATAATCTTATGATTGTATTGGTGTAAGTACCATTTGTTCAATGACTTTGTGTGAATACATATAGTCATACTGCAAATATTTTGCATCCCTTTTGTGACCTAATTTACAAACACTTAAAGCTTGTATTGTAATTCTGCTTTTCTGTTTAATAAAAGCTATTTCAGAGGAAAAAAAAAAAAAGCCTGAAGGCTTCTGAGGTAATTTCTGATAAGGATCTTACGTCGAGACCCTCCCTTAGGGACATTCTTTCCATATCTTTAGTTTAACCATAGAGAAAACTATTTATTTCATTATATGCTTAAGTATGTGTAAGAATTTGACAATGGCAAGGGAAATTCTTTATTATGTACCTAAGTCTATCTAAGGGTTTTATAGGTGCAAGGAAAATAAGCAAAAGCTAAGGAGTCAAGGCTCAGAAATGGGCTGATCATTCTGGTAAAAGTCAAGCGCCTCAATTTTGGAACTCTCACACATTCCCTCCTTTTGATCAAGGTTTTCATTAACCTCCTTTGATCACTATTATATGAATGCTTTTTTTCTGCAGGGGCTTGCAGTGATGCCACATGATTCTTTAGATATCTGTTTACTTGGGGAAGCCTTTAAGATCCCTGAAACTACTGTTTAATAGTCAGGCACCATCTTTCACTTGTTGTGGCTTATCATTCAGCTTCTGTGATCTTAGATGGGGGTCTATGTGGGGTAAGGCTACTTTAGAGGAACAGCTTTACTGTTCAAAAGACTGGCTTAGGATGAACTCAAGTCCATTTGGGAAATGGTCTCATTTATGTACACAAGTCTCTTCACAGGCATCAAATTGGTATTTTGTATCATTACATTGGTTATACAATTCATGTAACATTTGATTATTCCAGTAATCACTAACATAAAAATTAATGTCATTACTCCAGTTAGCGATACAGATCTAATCCAGGATCCAATACCTTTATGTAACCAGCTGAAAATATCAAACTAAGAGGATTCAGGTTCTGAGGCTTATATATGATATTAGGTAGGTTTTTGGTGAATTTTATAATTCATCATGATAAATCATTATCTTGAGAAGTAGATGAAACAAGATCATTATAATTATCTTGTTCAACATAGTGGATATTGTTAACCCAGTTGCAACAAGAAGTGTTTGCCTAGCACAAACACCTCCTTGTTGGGCTAAAAGAAAAATCTGTTCTGTTGTCTAAAATACTACTTCACAAGGAAGTTCAAGGATTCTTGCCGGACTACCATTCCATCAGTAATTTCATTCATGATTTGTTCCAGGGAGGGAGACAAATTTCAGAGTGCCTGCTCTAATCAGGCTACTCCATAAAAAGAAAATAATGATCTTAAAAATTGATATCTCATCCCAGATATAAGTTGGATGGCATTGTAATACCCACAGTGTCAGTAGATCTCTTGATCTAAGTCAAGATTTGTAAACTGCTGGCCCAATGAGTACTTTCATTATAGAAGTATATTTCTAATGGGATGTCTAAATGGCTTAGAGTTCACTGGCCTGTAATGTTCCATGCATCCAAACAAGGCAATGCCGAAGCATGAAGTTCATCACCTGAGTTTGGTATATCAATATAGGGTAATTTGGTCCTCCACAAAAGGACACATACCCACAAGAAACACAAATCATAACTTTTCTGTTAGTAGTAGATTGGAGCAGGAGGCAGCCGCAGGGATCCAGGTGAGGAGAGGGAACCCAGGCCACACCCCACAAGCTGCAAGGCAGGAAAGCAGGAGAAAGGAGAGGAAAAAGGCCAGGGGGCTGGGACAGAGCGAGGAGGCAGCAGCAGGAATCCAGGTAAGGGGGGATTGGAGAGGTTTTGAACAGCAAAAGCAGACAAACTTTTTTGTCTGTTTATCCTACTGTGGTGACATGTTGCTGTGAGTCTTGAGGCTATGCCACCAGTGTTTCAAACCCAGTGGGGTGCACATGGTGCACAGGTATCAGCCTGGCTTGCAAACTGAGACAGACTAGGAAGAAGGAAGAGGTCATCCACTTCTCAAAGAATTGACTAGGGAAAACCTTATGAATAGCAGAGAAACAATGTCTGATGTATTATTCACAACTTTATGAATAACTCAGAATCACTGTCCAATACAGAGGACAAGGATGGGGACTGGGACAGAGCAAGGACTTAGGTTAGAAGGCTCTCAAAACACGAGTGGGAAAGAGCTGCATCATCACAGTAGAACCAGCCTTACAGATATGGATAAGGTAAAGCTTTCGAGACCTCCATTTGCTGATGTGGCACCACTCAAATTGAGGAGGAACAGCTGCAGACATCCATTAATAACTGGAACATGGATAGTACGAAGTATGAATCTAGTAAAATTGGAAGTTGTCAAAAATGAAATGGAACACATAAAGACTGATATCCTAGGCATTAGTGAGCTGATATAGACTCATTTTGGCCATTTTGAATCAGACAACCATATGATCTACTATGCTGGGAATGAAAATTTGAAGAAGAATGGCATGGCATTCATCATCACAAAGAATGTTTCAAGATCTATCCTGAAGTACAATGCTGTCAGTGATAAGATAATATCCATATA